GTTTGAATGGGTCCGTCTTACCAAGCGATCCAGATCTCTGTACAACTGGCCTGTCCTCAGCACTATTTACCACTCTGCCAACCCTTGTGTCATCCACAAGTTTTATTAGCAGTGATCTTATATTACACTTATCATAGAATATCAGGGTTGGAAGGGACCTCAGGAGGTCATCTAGTCCAACCCCCTGCTCAAAGCAGGGCCAATCCCCAATTTTTGCCCCACATCCCTAAATGGCCCCCTCAAGGATTGAACTCGCAACCCTGGGTTTAGCAGGCCAATGCTCAAACCACTAAGCTATCCCCCACAAGCTGAATAGCATCAAGCCCAGTACTAATCCCTGTGGACCACCACCAGACTCTCCCATTTAAGAGTGGTTCCCCCACTGACAACTACTTTCTTAGATCTCTCACTTAGCCCGCTGTTAGTCCATTTAACATAAGAACGGCCATCCTGGGGCAGACTAATGGTCCACCTAGCCCAGTATCCCGTCTGCTGACAGTGGCCAATGCCAGATGCTTCAGAGGGAATGAACAGAACAGGGCAATTTATTGAGTGATTCATCCCTGTTGTCCAACCCCAGCTTTTGGCAGACAGAGGTTTAGGGACACCCAGAGCATGCGGTTTCATCCCTGACCATCTTGGCCAATAGCCATCGATGGACCTGTCCTCCAGGAACTTCTTTCTTTTCTGAATCCAGTCAGTCTTTTGCCCTTTACAACAACCCAAGCAACGAGTTCCACAGATTGACTGTGCGTTGTGTGAAGAAATACTTCCTTTTGTTTTAAGGCTGCTGCCTATTCATTTCATTGGGTGACCCCTGGTTCTTGTGTTATACGAAGTAGTAAATAACACTTCCTTATTCATGTTCTCTGCACCATTCATGATTTTATAGACCTCTATCATATCCCCCCTTAGTCATCTCTTTTCTAACTTTTTAAATTCCAGTTTTTTTAATCTCTCCTCATATGGAAGCTGTTCCATATCCCTAATCATTTTGTTGCCTTTCTCTGTATGTTTTCACAGGACACGTACTCGGATACCATACAGTGCTGGTTTATCAGAATGTTGTCTGCTACTTAGCCAAAAACCTTACAAAAATTTAAGTCTATTACAGCTATGTAGTTACCTTTATCAAACTTGCAATCTCACTTCCCAAAGAGAAGTTTAAGGGGTGACTTGATCAGTCTGTAAGTACCTATATGGGGAACAAATATTTAACAACGGGCTCTTCAATCTAGCAGAGGAAGGTCTAACATGATCCAGTCACTGGAAGCTGATGCTAGACAAATTCTGACAGGAAATAAAGCGTAAATTTTTAACAGGGAGGGTAATTAACCACTGGAACAATTTCCCAAGGGTCGCGGTGGATTCTCCATCACTGGTGATTTTTTAAACCAGGACTGGCTGTTTTTTTTCTAAAGCTCTGCTCTAGGAATGATCTTGGGGCAGGTGTCTGGCCCGTGTTACACGGGCAGTCAGACCACATGATCACAACAATCCTTTTGGACCTTGGAATCGATGAAAAGAATAAACTCAGGTTTAATTACATCCCATTTCCAATAAAACCATGTTGACTGGAAGACGGGAGTGATGACCTTGACACACCTTAGCAGAGAGAGAAGGATTCGTTCATAATTCCTCAGTGCTGGGAAGGCGCACAATGCCAGGTATGTGACGCCACTCTCACGAGCTGCAGGATCGTGCAGGGGACGATGCCCCGTAACAGACGCGGCTCTCGGGAAAGGGGCAGCCCCGCGGCTCGCTCCCTGGGGAGACCCAGGCCCGTGCGGGAGGGGAAAGCCAAGGCTCGCAGACACGCTTAGGAAGGGAAAGGGAGCCGGAGCCCGCAGCTGAGGGCGGCGACCTGACCCCTCCGAAGGCTCCCGCTTCCCCAGCGCGCAGCAGGAGGCGGCCGCGCTCCTGCTGGGCCCCCCGGCAGCCGCCTGCGGGGCGAGATCTGCGCAGCGCGGCCCCCGCGGAGAGACTCGCCCCCGCCCCGCCCCGCGGCCTGCCGAGCCCGAGAGAGGCGCCCGCCGGGGTCCCCGCCCGGCCACACCCAGCCCGGAGCGCCCCGAGGGCCAGCGGCCGCTCCCCAGCTGCGGGGCCCCGGGCCCGACCGGGCGGGGGCGCCGCGCCCCGGTGACCTTCAGGGCCGGGCAGGGCGCAGAGCCTGGGGGGCGCGGCCCGGGGCGCGGCGCGGCGCGGCCGGCGGGTCTCACCTGGGGGGGCCGCAGGCGGGGCCCGGGTGGCGGCGGCAGCAGGGAGCCGCCCCGGGTCCGCAGCACCAGGCACCGCGCCGCCGACAGCGCCGCCATCTTGGAGAGGAGCCGGGGTCCGCCTCCTTCCCAGGGTGCACCGCGCGGGCCGGGTCTACGGCGGCCGAGTGGGGAGGGGACGGGGCTCGGCAGGAAACGCGGAAAGGGCGGAGCTTGCAGCGCCTCTGGGCACAACTGATATCCGGTCACGTGGATCGCGACGCCGAGCCGGAAGCACCGCCCCCACCGGAGGTCATGGGGTCATAGCCTCGCGGCAGCGCTGGGCCCGGTCGGGCCACGCCCCCACCCCATGGGACTCCGCCCCCCCAGCCCTTCCCCCTCCGCGCCGATCGGGGCCCGGCCCCCCCAGCAGAGTCCTCGGGCCTCCCCGCCCGGCTCCCTGCCCCAGGCCCCGGCCCCCGCTCCGGGCAGGGAGGGGAGATTCCAGGGGCTGCCCCGCTGGGGAGCCCGGGGGCGAGCGCGGGGCTGCGGGGGGAGGGGAGCCAGGCTCCGGGGGGGGGGAGCTGCGAGCTGGGGGGGATAGCCAGGCTCCGGGGGGAGCCAGGCTCCGGGGGGGCTGCAGCTGGGGGGATAGCCAGGCTCCGGGGGGGAGCCAGGCTCCGGGGGGGCTGCGAGCTGGGGGGGATAGCCAGGCTCCGGGGGGGGAGCCAGGCTCCGGGGGGGGCTGCGAGCTGGGGGGATAGCCAGGCTCCGGGGGAGCCAGGCTCCGGGGGGGGCTGGAGCTGGGGGGATAGAGCTCGGGGGGGGAGGGGGGATAGAGGGGGTGGGGGTAAGGGGGGAGGGGGGGGGGGGGGGGTGGCTCGGGGGGGCTGGAGCTGGGGGGGATAGCCAGGCTCCGGGGGGGATAGCCAGGCTCCGGGGGGGGGGGAGCTGCGAGCTGGGGGGATAGCCAGGCTCCGGGGGGAGCCAGGCTCCGGGGGGGGCTGCGAGCTGGGGGGATAGCCAGGCTCCGGGGGGGCTGGAGCTGGGGGGATAGCCAGGCTCCGGGGGGAGCCAGGCTCGGGGGTGGAGCTGGGGGGTAGAGGCTGGGGGGGTGTGGGGGGTGAGGGGGGGGGGGGGGGGGCGAGCTGGGGGGTGAGGTCGGGGGGGGGGTGGGGGGTGGGTCGGGGGGAGGTCGGGGGGGCTGGGTGGGGGGGGGCGGGGGGGAGGCCGGGGGCTGCGAGCTGGGGGGATAGCCAGGCTCCGGGGGGGCTGCGAGCTGGGGGGATAGCCAGGCTCCGGGGGGGAGCCAGGCTCGGGGGGGGGGCTGCGAGCTGGGGGGGATAGCCAGGCTCCGGGGGGCGGAACCAGGCTCCTGGGACAGTAGGAGGAGAGCTATGAGCGGGGGGGGGGAGAGAGAGAGCTGCCAGTCGGGGGGGATAGCCAGGCTCTGGGGGGGGGGGGGCGGAGCCAGGCTCGTGATGAAGTGAGCTGTAGCTCACGAAAGCTCATGCTCAAATAAACTGGTTAGTCTCTAAGGTGCCACAAGTCCTCCTGTTCTTTTTGCGAATACAGACTAACACGGCTGTTCCTCTGGCTCCTGGGACAGTAGGAGGAGAGCTATGAGCCGGGGGGGGGGAGCTGCCAGTCGGGGGGATAGCCAGGCTCTGGGGGGGGGAAGCTGCGACCTGGGGGGGATAGCCAGGCTCCGGGGGGCGGAGCCAGGCTCCTGGGACAGTAGGAGGAGAGCTATGAGCCGGGGGGGAGCTGCCAGCCGGGGGGGGGGATAGCCAGGCTCTGGGGGGGGAGGGAGAGCTGCGAGCTGGGGGGGATAGCCAGGCTCCGGGGGGCGGAGCCAGGCTCCCGGGACAATAGGAGGAGAGCTATGAGCCGGGGGGAGCTGCCAGCCAGGGGGGGGGAATAGCCAGGCTCCGGGGGGAAGGGGGAAGCTGCGAGCCGTGGGTCTCATCCCCGCACTGCCCCCTCACGCCAGGTGCAGACAGGCACCCGACAGACCATCAGTGCGCACACGAACTGCAGTGGCTGTAAGTTGACCAACTCGAGGTCGACTTGAGTTCTCAGTGTAGCCGAGGCTTGGGGAGAAGCCCACTCCCTCGCTTCAACTCCGGGGCAAGTTCTGGCTCCTGCACTCATGAAACCTCCCCCTCGCAGCCAGCAGTTCCAGGGTGGGGGAAGGCCACAGCAGCAGGGGGAAAGGTGTCCTCTGAGGAGAGGGGGCCAATGCCCTTGAAAGCTCTGAACATCGGAAGGGGGGGCCTGTACTCCCCCGCATGGACCTGGTTCACAGCCAGGCACAGAGGAGGTGGGCACAGAGATTGGTGTTGCTGCATTTGGACCACCACAGCAGTGGCTTCATGGGGGATGTTGATTTGCAGTGTAAATTGGGCTGCCCCCTAAACTTGACTTCACCCCACGTCTCTCACTGCATCTGGCCCGGCCTCCTCTGCTGACACAAGACCTCCACAACCACCTCCCTGCCTTCTGCCTGACCTCCTGCAGGAACCCCCCTCCCTGACCTGTCCTTCCAAGGTCTGCCTCTGCCATGCTGCTGTCACATGCCAGATGGGGAGAGCTAGCGTTGCTGTCCTAACCCCCTACCCCTCACTTGCAGTGTACGCGGAATTGGACTATCTCCCCCCTTGCTGAGCAGCTCCCTTCCTAACTCGTAAGCTCCCCAAGGCTGGATCATCTTATTTACCTACAGTTGGTCAGGACCCAGCCCAACGATGGAGGCCTGTAGGTGCCGCCAGCACCAGCTATGAACCACCCTCACCACACTTGCCAAAGGCTTTTCTTCTTATTTTATTACAAAGATGAACACTCCTGGCACACACTTGCCTTTCCAATCCCTGTGGATTCCCCCAGCCCAGTCTGCTGGCTGCTGTGGGGGCCTGGCCCACCTGTATACAGTGGAGGAGTGTGCAAACCTGAATGCCCCACTCCTCTCCTCCCCCAATGCTGAGGAAGGCATATCCAGCCCATGCATGAGGAAGAGTGGGGAGCACCCTCCACTCCCCTACCTAATTGGACTCAAGGGGACCTGCCTCTCCAGTACTGCCTCCTGCTTCTCCCAGCCTAAGCCCCCCCCATCTGCCTTCTGTCTGTGGGAACAAGCAAGGCCAAAGCATCCCTGCTCCCATGCCCGCAGCCCGGTGCCGTGTCCCCTCCCCCGTGCACCAGCTGGCAGCTGCCCCCCGAAGGCAAAGGTCCCAGCATGCGAAGCCCAAGGACAGCTGAGTTCAGTGGAATGCAGGCAGTAGGCACCCCAGGCCCTCTTGAGGCCACTGAGCACAAGGGAGGGGAACTGACTCCTGCTGCAGGCCCCAGAACAGCCTTCTCCCTCCAGAACAAAGGTGCAAGGCTCCAGCCTGAGAACATGGGATGGCTCCAGGGCAAGACCCAGATCCTGGGATCCAGTTGCCAGGCGGGGGCCCAGTCAGCAGCCTCCTCCCCCAGGAGACATAGGGCCAGGCAGAGGGGCCCAGCTACTTCCAGAAGAGCACATTCCAGAGCAGCAGCCAGCAGGGGTAGACGAAGAGGGCGATGAAGGGAAAGACTATGGAGCCGTAGAGGTAGTGGTCCAGCAGGCCCTCAGACACAGCCTGCAGGAAGAGCTGCCAGCACTCCAGCGCCGAGACGGGGTACTCGATCAGCTCCTGGTACAGGACGATGCTGAGTAGGAGGGTGACAGCTGGAGTGACCAGGACCAGTAGCACTGCATACAGATACCTGGGAGACAGATGCAGGCAGGGATCAGAGTGGGGCAGCCTGGGGCGCACCAGCCAGCAGGGCTGGGCTGAAAAGGGGCAAATCCCAGCACTCCTGCCCCACTCCCTACAGCGCCCCCTGCTGGGAGAGGCTGGGGCTGGAATGGCCAGGAGCTCCCCAACAACTCCCAGAGCTCCTGCCCTAGTCCCCTGAGCAGGGGTGCTCTGAGAGGATGGAGGAGCAGGGAACGCCTATGCCTACAGCTCCCCATGCTGGGAGAGGCTGGTGGTAGACAGATTACCAATACCAGCATATGGGCCTGGTCCCTGGTTGGGGAGGGGATTTCCAGCCCATCCCTTGGACTGGCTGTTGGCTCTCAAGGCACCCTGCCTGTACCCAAGCAAGGATCATAGAATATCAGGGTTGGAAGGGACCTCAGGAGGTCATCTAGTCCAATCCCCTGCTCAAAGCAGGACCAATCCCCAACTAAATCATCCCAGCCAGGGCTTTGTTAAGCCTGACCTTAAAAACTTCTAAGGAAGGAGATTCCACCATCTCCCTAGGGAACCCATTCCAGTGTTTCACCACCCACTTAGTGAAAAAGTTTTTCCTAATATCCAACCTAAACCTCCCCCACTGCAACTTGAGACCATTACTCCTTGTCCTGTCATCTTCTATCACTGAGAATAGTCTAGAACTATCCTCTTTGGAACCACTTCTCAGGTAGTTGAAAGCAGCTATCAAATCCCCCCTCATTCTTCTCTTCCGCAGACTAAACATCCCCAGTTCCCTCAGCCTCTCCTCATAAGTCATCTGTTCCAGTCCCCTAATCATTTTTGTTGCCCTCCGCTGGACTCTCTCCAATTTTTCCACATCCTTCTTGTAGTGTGGGGCCCAAAACTGGACACAGTACTCCAGATGAGGCCTCACCAATGCCGAATAGAGGGGAACAATCACGTCCCTCGATCTGCTGGCAATGTCCCTACATATACAACCCAAAATGCCATTTGTCTTCTTGGCAACAAGAGCACACTGTTGACTCCTATCCAGCTTCTTGTCCACTGTCACCCCTAGGTCCTTCTCTGCAGAACTGCTGCCGAGCCATTCGCTCCCTAGTCTGTAGCGGTGCATTGGGTTCTTCCGTCCTAAGTGCAGGACTCTGCACTTGTCCTTGTTGAACCTCATCAGATTTCTTTTGGCCCAATCCTCTAATATGTCTAGGTCCCTCTGTATCCTATCCCTACCCTCCAGCGTATCTACCTCTCCTTCCAGTTTAGTGTCATCTGCAAACTTGCTGAGGGTGCAATCCACACCATCCTCCAGATCATTTATGAAGATATTGAACAAAACCGGCCTGAGGACCGACCCTTGGGGCACTCCACTTGATACCAGCTGCCAACTAGACATGGAGCCATTGATCACTACCAGTTGAGCCCGACAATCTAGCCAGCTTTCTATCCACCTTATAGTCCGTTCATCCAGCCCATACTTCTTTAACTTACTGGCAAGAATAAAGGATAAAGAATAAGGATCCTGGCACCTGCAGAGCGAGCCCACCAAGGATGAGACTGGCCATGGAGCCCCGGCCACTCATGGACAGGCCTGGCTCAGGTGACCTTGGGCCGCCTCACTGGATGCCATGGGAAATGCACAGGTGCCACTTACTTGGGGCCTTTGGGCTGGACGATGGCTGCAACGGGCACCATGGTGACAGCCAGGAGGAAGCCCAGGGAGAAGTTAATAAGGGCAATGCAGCCCAGCTGCATGGCCAGGTACAGCAGGGACAGAAGCTTCAGGGTCATCCAGCCGCGTTCACTCCCACAGCCAGTCAGCACCCTGCAGAGCAGAGAAATGACTGTCAGGCCCCACAGACACCTGCCTAGCCCCCGCTCTGGCCAGGGCTGAGAAACAGCAGAGAACCAAAGGTACCATTTTCTATAGACTGTCACAGGGCGCTATGTTCACCCTTTTTACACAATTCTGTATAAAGCATGCCTTATGAGGTATTGTGAAAACTCATCATGTGCTGATCATTATTGTCCCGGTAAAATGTGTGGCAACATTGTAGGTAAAGTTCATAGAATCATGGAATTGGAAGGGACCTTGAGAGGTCATCTAGTCCAGTCCCCTGCACTCACAGCAGGACTGCGTACTACCTAGACCATCCCTGACAGGTGTTTGTCCAACCTGCTCTTAGGCCTTGTCAACACTAAAGGGAAAAGTCAATCTAAGCTACGCAATTTGAGTTATGTGAATAGCGTAACTCAAATCAATGTAGCTTAGATCTACTTACTGCAGGGTCCACATTACGCAACATTGACGAGACACTCTCTCCCGTCAACTCCCCTTTACCCTTCTCCATCAGGTGGAGTACAGGAGTCAACCAGAGAGCGATCGGCGGTCGATTTAACACAGAGGTGGGCAAACTACGGCCTGCGGGCCCTTTCTGCCCGGCCCCTGAGCTCCTGGCTGGGGAGGCTAGCCCCCGGCCCCTTCTCCGCTGTTCCCCCTCCCCTGCAGCCTCAGCTCACTGCACCCCCAACGCGATGCTCTGGGCGGGGGAGCTGTGAGCTCCTGGGGCAGTGCAGCTACAGAGCCCGGCCTGACCCGGTCTCTGTGCTGCGCGGCTGGCTCCAGCTGGGTGGCGCAGCTGCCTGTCCTAGTGCTCCAGGCAGCATGGTAAGGGGGCAGGGAGCGGGGTTGGATAGAGGGCAGGGGAGTTTGGGAGGTGGTCAGAGGCCAGGGGGTGGATAGGGGTCGGGGCGATCAGTGGGCGGGGAACAAGGGGGTTGAATGGGGGCAGGGGTTCCGGGGGGCAGTCAGGGAGAAGGGGTGGTTGGATAGGGCAGGGGTCCCTGGGGGACAGTCAGGAATGAGAAGAGGGGTTGGATGGGGCGGCAGGGGGCAGTCAGGGGACAGGGAGAAGGGGTGTTTGGATGGGGCAGAGGTCCGGGGGGGCGCAGTCAGGAAGGGGGGGGGTTGGACGGGGCAGTGGGGGGCAGTTAGGGGCGGGGGGTCCGATGGCGGTCAGGGAGAAGGGGTGGTTGAATAGGGGCAGGAGGCCGTCAGGGAACAGGGGTCAGGCCATGCCTGGCTGTCTGGGGAGGCACAGCCTCCCCAACTGTCCGTCCATACAATTTCTGAAACCCGATGTGGCCCTCAGGCCAAAAAGTTTGCCCGCCCCTGATTTAGTGGGTCTTCACTAGACCCGCTAAATTGACTGCTGATGCATCGATTGCCGCAGCGTTGATCCTCAGGTAAGTGTAGACAAGGTCTTAAAAATCTCCAATGACGGAGATTCCACAACCTCCCTAGGCAATTTATTCTAGTGCTTAATCACCCTGACAGTTAGGAAGCTTTTCCTAATGTCCAACCTAAACCCCTCTTGTTGCAATTTAAGTCCATTGCTTCTTCTCCTTAACCTCCGAGGATAGGAGAACAATTTTTCTCCCTCCTCCTTGTAACAACCTTTTGCGTTTTTGAAAACTCTTGTCCCCCCTCAGTCTTCTCTTCTCTCCAGACTAAACAAACCCAGTTTTTCAGTCTTCCCTCAGAGGTCATGTTTTCTAGACCTTTAATCATTTTTGTTGCTCTTCTCTAAACTTTCTCCAATTTGTCCCCATCTTTCCTGAAATGTGACGCCCAGAACTGGACATAATACTCCAGCTGAGGCCTAATCAATGCAGAATAGAGCAGAAGAATTACGTTTTGTGTCTTGCTTACAACACTCCTGCTAATACAGCCCAAAATGACATTTGCTTTTTTTTTGCAACAGTGTGACACTATTGACTCATATTTAGTTTGTGATCCACTGTGTCCCCCAGATCCCTTTCTGCAGTACTCCTTGCTAGGCAGTCGTTTATATAAAGTCCGATTATAAAATTCTACTGTATGACATTGCTGAGACACGCTCCAAATTTAAAAAAGCAGGCACAAACCAGTTCCTCAAAGATAAAAGGCCAACTGATGCCTCAGTCAGGTGTCAACAAAATCCAATGGACTATCACCTGGCTAAGCAGGCATTCTTTGTCAGGAAAAAGGGTGTGAGTGAGAAATTTACATCTTGGCACAGACACAGCTGGAAGCTCCCATCCCAGGGACTTGGCCACCTGGACCCCAGCTGGAGAGGATTCTCAAAGAAGAGAATTGCTGTAAGAAAGGGGAACAAACTCCCCAGATTATCTCTCCCTTCATCTCTACTCACAGCACCAACAACACCTGAAAGACAAAGGAAGCATCACTGGACTGGAGCTAGATCCTGGCTGTAAGATTGCTAGAACACAGTGAGAGAAAACCTTTTGCTTTAAGTTTGCATAGCTTGCTAAGTTAGGTATCTTATTTCTTTGTAACTAGTTCTGACTTTTATCCCTCATCACTTAAAATCTTTCTGTAGTTAATAAACGTGTGTTATTGTTTTATCTAAACCAGTGTGTGCTTGTACTGAAGTGTCTGGGGTACTCCATTTGAGATAGCAGGATTTGTGCATATCATTTTCTATTAATGAAATGACAGACTTTCTATGAGCTTGTATTGTCTAGGAGTAAAGAGCTGGGCAGTACAAGACGCACATTTGTGGGGAAAGTCTGGGATTGGGAATTTGCTGGTGTTGTTCTGTTATATAATTCAGGAGTGGCTGGCTAGAGCACTCATGTAACTCAGCGGGGAGTGAGTTACATGCTGGAGGCTGTGTGGGCAGACCAGGAGTGGCGGTGTAAAAGGCACCCCAGGCTGGAGAACTGAGGGGGGACAGCTGTTCAGCAGTCCAGACTGTACCCTGGAGAATGTCATAGGGCCCCCCCCGGGACAGGCTCCCACAGCCAGCGCCCTGCTCCCCACAGCGCCCCCTGCATCGCCCTGCCTTTCCCTGCCGGGACCCGCACGTACCTGGGCGTGTTGTGTGGCAACGCCAGCCCGGCCACGTAGACGGCCGTGACCGTCAGCACCACGGCCTCCGACTCTGAGACGGGGAAGTGCTGGGTGGCCACGTGCTGGCCCAGCACAGGCAGGAAGTAGAGGGTGAGGCCTGTGGCATGGCAGATCAGCAGAGGTGGCACCAGGGTGAGCAGGCCAGGCCGCGACTCCTGCGGGGCGGGGAAGGGAGGAAGCTAAGCAGGGGCAGCTGAACCAGGGCCAGAGCCAACCCCATCAGGCCTCAGCCTTGGAGGAATCCCAGTTTTGGGGCAAAGGGGACCCCAAATCTTCCTCCCTGCCCCGGGGAAAGGGCCCTGGGCAACTTCAAGCCCAGCCCCAAAGCGGCATCTCCTGAGGGGCTGGGCCCATCGAACCAAGGGGCAGGAGCTGTGGTGGGGAGGGTTACACAGCAGGGTGGCCCAGTGGGGTGATCGCTTGACTTAGGAGCTCTCTGCCCTGCCCCAGACGCCCTGGGGACCCTGGGCAGGTCCCTGGTTCTGATCTGTGCAGGGTGATAAGGGTAAAGATTGGGAGGCGCTTGCATACTGCGGTAGCAGGTACCATAGACGTCCTTTAGATGGCCAGGAACCTGAGAACCCACGGCGGGGGAGTCCATGGGGGATAGGGGAGGAAGGCAGTAGCTGCCCTTGGGCCTGGAGAGCTCCAGGAGCGGCCAGGGCAGGGCCCTGCAACCCCTCACCTCGGCGGCAGCGTGGGCAGCACCCTTGTCTCCATCGCAGAGCGGCTCTTCGGCACCCGCATCACATTTACTCAGCTTCATCCACAGGTCGAGGGCGTGGGGCAGAGTCAAGGAAACCAACCACACAGCACCCCCTGACCCACCGGGCCCCTGCGCCGACCCTCACCCAGCCACGGGCAGATCCCTGCTCCCCAGAGACAGGCGCAGCCCCTGCCTCCCAGAGCGAGCTCCTCACCGGGACCCAGGCTGTGGAGAGGGGGCACTGCAGAGTGGTGAGGGGTCCCCTCCTGCCAGCCTGGGGAACGCGCCCCCTCCCCCCATCAGGCAGGGCTGCGCAGTTCAGCGGCCTCGTGGAAAACGCCGGCTCCTCCCCAACCTGAGTCTGAGCAGAGACTCCACCTGCGCCCCCGTCCCTAGGCCTGACCCTGCTGCAGCCCAGAGCTCTCCCACTCCCCCTGCAGCTGCGGCACCGGGGATATCTTGAGGACGAGGACGAGGACGAGGCCGCCGACGGCCGGCATGTAGACGCCGATGGAGACGAAGCGTGCGAGCGAGGGCAGCAGGTAGAAGAAGTAGGACTGGTGCAAGCGCTCCAGCAGGTTGTTCAGCTTGCGGAACATCCCCTCCAGCGTCCTGCGGGGCAGGCCCTCAGCAGGGTGGATGCTGGCACCGTCCTCGCCCAGGGGTGGCAGTGTGGGAGAACGGGGGGCACAGCCTCTCAGTCCCATCCCTGGCCGGTCCCCACACTGAGCTAGACCAGCATTCCCCTAGGCTCCCCAGGCCTTGGCTCTGCCAAGAGCCCTCAGTCCTGATCCACAGCCCCTCGGCCATCCCAACCCTGGGCTCCCTCCATCCCCCAGCCCAGCTGGTGCTCCTCAGTCCTGACCCGCAGCGCCCCTGCTGCCCAGGCCAGCCCCTCCGTCCCGGCTCTTGCCTACTGGGGGAGCAGGGGCCCCTGCCCTCAGGGGTGTTACTCACTTGCCCACGGTGCCCATGTCGTACTTGTACTGCCGGAAGCTGTTGATGCCACGCACAGTGATGGCCTCGATATGGTAGCGCAGGAAGAGGCCATGGTCGCCCTGGGGCCGGCCGGAGCCCTGCTTCAGCACCATGAGCAGCAGGGTCTGCAGGCTATGCACATAGGCCGGCAGCGTGTCCCAGTCCGTGCGCTGCAGCTGCAGAGCAGAGACATCAGGGCCTGCCCCCTGCCCCCCCATGCAGTCCACCCCACCCCTGCCCTGACAGCCAAGGAGCCTGGCCGGGGGTGCAATTGGGAAAGCGGGGGAGGGGGTCAGGAGAAACCAGCAGGGAGAGGAGTCTGGCTGTGAACACTCCCCCCACCCCCAATCTCACTATGCCCTGGATAGTGCCGCCCCTGCCTCCTTGCCCTGATGGTGCCAGGAACACCCCCCACCCCCTTGACATGCATGGTGCTGGGCTCCCCACCCCCAACTCTCACCTTGCCCTGGATGGTGCACAGCAGCCCGTTCTTCTGGCAGAAGGCGTAGAAGAGGTTGACCAGGTCCAGGTTGGGCAGCTGCCCGTTCAGCCCCTCCACGGCCACATCGAAGCTGGTGATGACGTCGCTGCTCAGCTCCAGCGAGACAGCCGCCTGGATGGCTCCGGCCCGGCCCAGCATCCCCGAGGAGAGCACCTCTGCCAGCACAGCAGCAGCTCAGACCAGGCAGCCCCCACTGCCCAGAACCCAGGGGAAACAGCCCCTCAGAGCAGTGAGCAGCTGTGCCTGCTCAGTGAGTGTTTGGCTGCGACTCACCAGAGTGCTGCACTCTAGCCCAGGGCCCTCCTGCCCCCCTGCTGCGCCCCACCCAGCCCTGCCCCCACAGCTCCTCTGGCCTCACCGGTGACGTTGACATCATGGTAGGCCTCCAGCCAGGCCTCCATGCCGATCAGGTCGTGCTCGTTCACCAGGAAGATGATGTCCTTGGCCCAGTAAATCTGACCTGCAAGCAGACAAGCACTGCCCGTGTCAGCGAGGGCCAGGCCAGCCGGCCCCAGGGAGCAGTATGCACCACGGCGGGGCCCGTGTCAGCAGATGCCTGGGGACTACAGCCTAGTCAGCCACACACCCCGTCCTGCACAGGGCGATTGGCCTGAAGCAGCCCCAGGAGGAACCCGCCACTTACCTGCAGCCGGGCCCCGGGCGTCTGTGAACAGGGCAGAGGCCTCCGTGCTCTACACACTGCACAGATGCCAAGGGGAGGGGCTGAGACATGAGAGTCTGATTTGAACAGCCTGACAGCCCCAGGAACCCTCCTCACCAGGCCGGGGGGAATGCAGCCCCAGGAAGCCCCTCACTGGGCCAGGGGTGGGAGGGACCCTGATATGGGCTAGGGAACCCTCTCGTCAGGCCATGGGGGAGCCCAATACAGTCCCGGGAACCCCCCTCGCCCTGCCCGGGAGCCTGATATAACCCCAGGAACCCCCCTCGCCCTGCCCGGGAGCCTGATATAGCCCTAGGAACCCCACCAGATTCCTGGGCCACAGGACCTCCGTCACCAGGTCACACAAAGGCCTGGCCCATGCACTGTTGAGCAGCAAGCCACTCTCAGGTGCACCTGACTCAGCACCTCCCTGCCACTCCCACAGGCCCCACCCCCCAGGCATGTACTCACTTACCCCGGAAGTAGGAAGCCAAGGCCAGCATGAGCCCCACGGCCTGGTTGTTGTGCTGCCCCATGCTACAGGGCACGCTCAGGACCAAGGACTCTGTGCTGGCCGCACGTGGTGCCCGCAGGATCCCGTACACATTCGTACCCTTCACCATCTGCAGGGAGGGAACCAGGGCTCAGCAGGACAGTGGAACCGAGCCCCACCCACAAAAGAAGTGGGCTTTGCAGGGAGCCAGGCCCTGGAAGGGGCTTCTTCCCACCCCAGAGCCAAACACAGCATCGTGGTGTCTGCTGAGGAGGGACCCAGAATGGGGAGGGCAGGGGGCTGAGGAGCACCAGCAACTGGCGGCAGGGGGGAAGTCCATGGCAGGGATAGCAGGGGGCTCGGGTTGGGATTGAGGTGGGGGGAGCCCAGCACTGGGATAGCAGAGGCTGTGGGTTGGGACTGGGTGCAGAGCTGCATGCAGCGAGCTTGTTCAGCTCCTGCCTTTTGCCCAGTGACTGGCCCTGGCCCCTCAAGTGCTGTCAGCCCCTCAGTTCTGCTACCCCTTTTCTGTGAAGCAGACCTGCTGGATCAGCACACATGGTATGGAGATGAGGAAGGGCCAGGATCCTGCGAGAAGCCCCAGAGCTCTGTGGAGAGGTGCTAGCCCACAGGGCGTAGGGGCTGCATCTGTCCCTTTGCACCAACCCCCAGCCCAGGGGGGAAACTCCCCAACCCCCAGTGCCTGCAGCTCATCTGTGCCCTACCCCCAGGACAGAGATGGGGCAGCTCCCAGGGACTGCGGTCCCAGCCTGGCACGTACGTATCTTTCGCGTGTCTCGTCGGGGAAGGGCAGAGTGCGGGAGAAGGGCTGCTTATAAACCTCCAGGCCCAGGTTCCACATTGTCTTCTCCAGCCAGGCCACGGGGATCCCCCTGGGAAAGGAGACAGGAAGCATGATGGGCCGGAACGGGGCCCTCTTGCCCGGGGGGACGGGTAACGCTAGAGCCCAGCGCGCATAGCGAACCCCAGATTGTCCTTCTCAGAGCCCAGGGCCACACTCTACCCACCCACAGGCACAGACTTGCCCAGTGCCACCTAGCACAGTGCCACTGCCCTGCCTTGCAGAGTGAGATACACCAGCCAATGCACAAGGAGAGCAAACTGCAGGGCCCTGCGGAGCCACCCCCTCCATTAGCACCTAGAGACTACAACTCCCAGCATACAGTTCACCTGCCTTGAGTACTGCAGGCTGGGCCCTGGCAGGACACTCCTGTGTATTACAAAGGCAGCTGGCACGGGGTGCCACCCTTCCTCCCCTGCTGGCCTGGGGCCTTCGGAGAAGTGCTTGGCCTGTACCCTGGCCAGGGCTCCCCCGACTACTGGCGGCTTGAACTCACCCCACCTTCTTCTTGTGGCCAGCGAACTCACGGGCGTAGGAGAGTGCCCTCTCGCCAAACACGAACTGCTCCTCCACCATGGTGGAGCCCATGGCGTTCTCTGACATGTATGAGCGCAGGGTGAAGGGTGGGGAGGCCAGGCCCAAGAACCAGCCCAGTCCAGCCAGGTAGCTGAGAATGCTGCAGACAGGAAACACAAGGGGGTGAAGACCCCAGGCTGCTCCCCTCCGCTCCCCTCCCCACTCCCTGCCCCGGCCCCATTGCCCCATGAGAGAAGGGGTCAGGTCTAACAGGGAGGATATCTGTGCACGTGGGGGCCACGGCTTTGAGCCCCAGCTGGGCTCCCTCCCTCTCTGGGGTGCAGCACTTGGCACTGCCAGGCAGGCAACACTGGCTCAATGCCTGGCCCCCATCCCTGGACTCCTAGGGCAAGGAGGAGTGTCCAGGCCCTGGGGGAGATCGTGTGGGCGCCACTTCCCGCCCTGCTGACGGGTGGCCCTGAGGGAGAGGAGAAGAGGGACGGAAGGAGAGAGCAGAGCGTGGGGATGGGAGGAAACAGAGAGAGCTCCCCACAGAGCCTGCGGCAGGGAGCCCAGGAAGCCAGGGGCCGGGCACTCACCAGAGCGGGGTGTTGAGGCGGAGGATGAGCCGGGACAGCGCCCGCCTGCGGTACGGGTCCGACAGGAGCCCCATGGCGGACGGACGGGGCCCACGGACTCCTGGGGGCACTGCGGAGAATAGGGCAGCGTCTCCAGCTGGCAGGGACCCGGGAGCCCCCTGGGGCAGGCGCGGCCAGAGGGGCGAGGGCACAATGCGGCCAGCGGCCCTGCCCGGGCCGAGACCCTGCTCCCCAGCTCCCGACAGCCCCCCCATGCCCCTCGCTGACCCCCCCGGGGACACCCCAGACCCCCACCCGGACTCCTGCCTGCCCACCTAGGTGCACCGTCCCCACATGTGCACAACGCCCTCCCGGGCCGCAGGTACGTGTGCCCCCCCCAGGCACGTACATGTGCCCCCCCCGGGCCGCGCCCCTCCCAGACATGTACATGTGCCCCCCCGGGCCGCGCCCCCCCCCAGACATGTACATGTGCCCCCCCGGGGGCCGCGCCCCCCCCAGGCATGTACATGTGCCCCCCCGGGCCGCAGGTACGTGTGCCCCCCAGGCATGTACATGTGCCCCCCCCGGGCCGCAGGTACGTGTGCCCCCCCCCCAGGCATGTACATGTGCCCCCCCCGCAGGTACATGTCCCCCCCCGCCGCCCCCCAGGCATGTACATGTGCCCCCCCCGGGCCGCAGGTACGTGTGCCCCCCCAGGCATGTACAGGTGCCCCCCCCGGGGCCGCGCCCCCCCCCCAGGCAGGTACATGTGCCCCCCCCCGGGGCCGCGCCCCCCCCCAGGCAGGTACATGTGCCCCCCCCCGGGGCCGCGCCCCCCCCCAGGCAGGTACATGTGCCCCCCCCCGGGATGTACAGGCGCCGCCCCCCTCCCGGGGCCGCCGGTCGGTCCGTGCCCCCCCCGGGGCCCTACAGGCGCCGCCCCCCCGGCGTGTGGCTCTGCGGGGCCGGGGCCGGGGCCCGCAGCTGGACGGGGGGGCTCCGCCCTAGAGCGGGGCGGGGCCGGTCCCCGAGCGGCGGGAGGGGGGCGGGGCAGGGCCGGGCCCCCGGGGGGGGCGAGTGCCGGGGGGGGGGTCTCGGGAACCCGCCTGGCGGGAGACGCGCTCGGCTGGTCTCCGGGGGGGGGGCCCGCGCCGCAGCGACCCCCCCCGAGCCGAGCTCCAGCACGAGCCCCGGGGTCAGCCCGAGGGGGGGGGGGGCTCCCCCCCCCGCCAGTCCCCTGCACCCGGCCCGCACCTACCTGCCGCGGCGCGAGGGCCCAGGCCGCTCAATCCAGCGCCGAGCGGCCGCTCCACTGAGCAATCGAGCTCAGAGCCACCGAGGGGACCCGCCCCGGGACGAGCCTCGCTCCCAGCAGCCGGGAGGGGGCGCGCGGGCGCCCAGGTGAAGCCTGCAGGGCGCAGGGGGCGGGTGCAGGGCGCAGGGGGTGGGCGCAGGGCGTGGGCACAGGGGGCGCAGGGCACGGAGGGTGGGTGCAGGGGGTGGGCACAGGGGGGGGTGGGTCAGGGGGCGGGCAGGGGGCGGGGGTGGGCGCAGGGCGGGGGGGGGGGGGGGGGGGGGGGGGGACGGAGGGGTGGGCGCAGGGGGTGGACGCAGGGCGCAGGGGGCGGGGGATGGGTGCAGGGGGCGGCCAGGGGGCGGGGGATGGGTGCAGGGGGTGGGCGCAGGGCGTGCACACAGGGGGTGCAGGGCGTGGGTGCAGGGGGTGCAGGGCACGGAGGGTGGGCGCAGGGGGTGGGTGCAGGGCGCAGGGCACGGAGGGTGGGCGCAGGGCACGGAGGGTGGGCGCAGGGCACGGAGGGTGGGCGCAGGGGGTGGGCGCGGGGGGGATTTAATTGAACCGATTTAAATCCCGGGTTTGATCGTCGCAATCGGGGACATTGGGAGCAAAATCAGCCCCTTGGCCAGGGACTTGCTTCCCCGCACGCAATGCACCGTGGCTATATGGAAATGAGATTCCCCGGCACAGCTCTGCGCTCAGGCTGCCCCTGCTGTTCCTGGGCGGGGGGGAGATGGGGGTGCAAGGGGAGGGGGCGGAGCTGCTCGCCCCAGGCGGTCCCGATGGCACACAGAGGACGCAGCCCGGGGGGGGGGGGGGCAGCCAGAGGGCAACAGCCCCCCCCGCTGGGTTGGGGCTAAACCCCGGAGCCGGCGCACGTGGCCCGGCAAAGGGGCCGGGTCTCCATGGAGAGTCTCCGCCCGCCGGGGCTGGCCCCGCTGCCGAGTAGCTCCCCGCGGCTGGCTGCGCTGTTCCCCGCCGACACGGGCCCAGGGAGACCCCACAGGGGCCAGGCCTGAAAGTAAGTGGAGTGACTTACCGGTGTGCTGGGGCGAGCTCTGGACCCCAGAAGGGGCGGGGCCTCGGACGAAAGGGGCGGGGCTGAGGAGGGTCAGAGCCAGCCAACCCTGTGAGGTAAGTGCCCCCCCTTCCCCTCCCCCACCAGGGTAGCAGCAGCCCGGGGCTCCGGCGGCTATTTAAAGGGCCTGGGTGGTAGAAGCAGGGGCGCCCGGTCCCTTTAAATAGCCGCCGGAGCCCCGCAGCCGCTCCCCCAGGGCTCCAGCAGCCGGGGTCTGGAGGCAATTTAAAGGGCCTGGGGCTCCAGCCACTGCTGGGAGCCCCAGGCCCTTTAAATTGCCCCCCGGGGAAGCCGGGCTGCTCTTGCTGGTAGGCCCTACCGGGGCGTACCCTCTTACTTTCACCTCTAGCCCCTCCTTTCAAGCTCAGCCTGTCCCACCCAGGGCACGGAAGGAGAGGAGCCAGGATCGCTCCCCTCCCCGACCTGTCCCGGGGCGGAAGCTGGGCCCTGAGCCCCAGGAACTGGTCTACGGGTCCATGCGCAAACCCGGGGCTTGGCCACCCAGCGTGACTCAGGGGCTCCTGGGCCCGAGTGCAGCCGTGCACCTGCGGGGAGAGTCCCTGGGCCGGGGTGCAGGGAGCTGGGACGCCGCCCTGCCCCACGCCCCCGAGGGCTATCCGGGCACAGTGCGGCATTGCACTCCCTGGGAAACAGTAACTGGCCTGGCGGCCCCTCCTGGTTCCTTGGGCCTCCCTCTGCTCCTGAGTTAGCGGCTTACACAGAGCTCTTCTTCAGGTCTGGAAAACTAACTCAAAGTGTCACAAGGTTTGAACAGATGGTTTAGCACAAGCAGGTAACATCTATTTCAAAGGACCGTTCAATAGGAGTTTACTTATGCTAACCAATCTACTCAAATCTTGAATTCAGCAGTGATACTTTGAGTTCCTTTCCCAGACCCAAAGAAAAGCTCTCTGTAAGCTTCAGAGTAACAGCCGTGTTAGTCTGTATTCACAAAAAGAAAAGGAGTACTTGTGGCACCTTAGAGACTAACCAATTTATTTGAGCTGTAGCTCACGAAAGCTCACGCTCAAATAAATTGGTTAGTCTCTAAGGTGCCACAAGTACTCCTTTTCTAATAGCAAAGGGGAACTATAATGACAAAACATAGAGAAGTAGGATTTCACATCCCAGCTATTGATAAGTGAGTTCTTGCCAGACAGGATGCTCTCAAACTAAGTTTCCTTTTACATTTTCTAGGCACTTCCCTTTCTCTGAAGGCGATAGGACAGGATTGTATCCCTAACAGCCCAATAGCACCTTATTTCAATGTGACTAGTTTGCAATGTGAGGAGGTGACCGGTCGCTTCCCAGCTCATGGCTGCCTTTGCTGCTTAGCCAAAGATCTTAGCCTAAGCACTGGGCCTCAGACTGTCACAGTAGGAGAAGGCCCTTACACCGGCAGACAGTGACTTGGATTCTTTCTTTTATACCTCTATGACTAGCCAAGTGATAAGAACACATCTACATTCTTAGAGTATGGGCCTTTACGGACAGGCCTGAATATCTCTATCCTAACATCTTTCCAGTAATGAGGGGCTCTGGCCTGAACACAATATTCCACATACTGTGAGGTCGGGAGCTATCTTCTCCCTGTCCGGTGACACACAGCCCAGTATTGTATTCGTGCCTTCCTGCACTGCCAGCTCATGTTTGGCATACTCACCCGGAGGGAGCACCTGGGAGGCTGGAATCTTGAAAGAGCCCGAGGGCTGATAATGTTAGCTAGAAGCTAGCAGCATGTTAGCCAGAAGCTCGCCTTTGAGAGGAAGGATGGTGCAGTGGTTAAGGGGGCCACTTGGGAGATCTAGGTCTAGTTTTCTGCTCTTCCCACAGATTTCCTTGGGCTTGGTCTGAACTACAGTTAGGTGGACGTAAGGCATCTTGCGTCAACCTAACTCTATCCGTATCTACACTACAGCGTTGTTCCCGCTGATGTCCGTCGCCCACTACACTGACCTAATACGCCCCTCCGCGAGAGGCATAGTGCTTAGGTCGATGTCATTAGGGTGACGCAACGTCTGTGTAGACGCTGCCTTACTTACATCGCCTCTTGGCTGTCAGCCCTGCACGGGGCTCTCAGTGGGAGCCCAGCCCAGCCCCCCAGGGCTGACAGCCTGACCCACACATCCCTGGGCCGGGGGCTCCAGTGTCCCACAATGCCCCACACAGCTAAGTTGGTGGAAGTGCTCCTGGGGAGGACATGTACCACTGACAGGGGGACATAGTGTGGACATGAATCTGGCTGTACATGGGCCTAACTTAGGTTGACTTAATTTCTTTACTGTGGACAAGGCCTTAGTCACTTTGTCTCTCTGGGCCCCAGGTTCCCATCTATACAGTGGGGATAATAGCACAGCCCTGCCCTCACAGGGATGTTGTGAAGATAAACAGACTAGCAATGCCAGAGTTGAGTGTTAGACCTCACTTTGCGTGGCCAGCCAGGCTTTGGAATTGCTGAGCAGCAAGAATTAGGAGATGGATTCTGGCCAGGTGCAATGGGAGGATGTATTAAAATCTAACAGTTTAGAAGGGAGCGTGCAAGCAACAATCAACAATGTGGCTTCCCAAGAGACTCCTAGTGCCCCAGAGGGGGCAAGGAGGCCCCGGCCTCCCTCCACATGTGGAATCCAAAATGACATAGGCCTTCTTTGCTGCAGCATCAAGGCTCAAGCTCTATTTATCTTACGTACTTTTATGGCCCCCATTATTGGAGCATCTGAGCACTGCACACTCTTTAGCTGGCCATTTTCTAAAGTGGTAGATTTTTATCCTTCCTCCCAGTGCACACTCCTCACTAGATTTCTTAATTCCCCAGTCTGCTATCCTGAAATCTCATATCCTTGTGCTGCCCTGCTCCCTCCTCCAATTCCTTGCCGTTGCACATGGTCACTCTTTCTCAGCTAGCTCCCCTCTCGTTCTCAAAGTCATTTCTCCATGTCGATAAAAAAACAGCCCTTGGGAACGGCTTTTCCTCTGGCTACGGTAACTACTTGCTGTGTCATTTTATTTTATGACTCCCACTGCTGACAAACGGGTACCCGTGCAACCCCCTCGGAGGCTGCAAGCCCCAGACAAGTGACCAGGAAGCCAACAAGCCCTGATATGATGATCTAGGGGCCATTAAGCCCTGTTCCTTCCAGCACAGTTAAAGGTGTACAATCTCTAATGAGCCCCGGGTTTTTAATTAGGGAGACTGTAGCTAAGTCAGCTAATTTCCCTTAACCTTTGTATGTCCATGTCTACCCTTGTGGCTGGTTGTATTTGTGTTGTTGCCTTCTGGGCAGCTTGCCCACGGGGCCTCATGTGAATAGAGTGCCTACAGGACATGCATACAGAGCTACACCCTCAGCAACCTCCTCTGGGACACCCTGGCCTAGGGCAGCGAGCTGGAAGGCTAGCCAGACCAGTTACCCCTGCAGAGCTGGGGAGCCGGGAATCACTGTTCTAGACACAGTGATTCCCAGGCTGCTTCCCCTTGCTACCAAGAGGCAAAAACAACGCTGAGCCACCACTAAAGAAATATTGTGTTTGAAAACTTCTCCTTTTGCCTGAAGCTCTGCTGGCAAAAGCAAAGCCAAGCCAGTGCTGCGGCTCGTGCCTGAAGCTTTAGTCTCCGGGCTCTTGTTGATGCTCCCATGAGATGTGCTGCTAACACCCTGTGCAAGAACTAAACTCGGAAGAGGGGATTAGTCGTGCAAGCTGCACATCACTGAATGGAATGAACAGGCTGAGTCAATCGGGCATTACATGTCTCCAGTCCTGGCCTTTATTTTCATTCAACCCCAAATCGACATTTCCGTGAAAGGTACAAAACAGTCATTGCGACATTACAAACAAAATTAGTTTTGCCTTTCGTACAGAATCTTTACAGGAGACCAGAAAATCGCCATTTTAGGAACAGCAGCTGCAGTTCCTGGATGCTGGAGCTTTGCAGACACAGCTCTTGGCACAATGATTGCATCCGGCTGGGCAACAGGAGCAACAGCCTGAAAAGATAAAAATCAAGACACGATTATTGGAGAGGCCAGACAACAAAAAATAAAAACAACCCTCCCCCGTAAGAGCTGAAGGAAGTTCAACATGGATGAGACAAGGAGCAAAACCATGCCGTGAACTGTACTTTATAAAATATTAAAACATCTCAGTGGTACTGTTAATACATATTCCTCACAGAGGCCACATAAAAGTCAAGATTGGACAGTCCTGAGTCCTTTCCCACCTTGATATAGGTCAGAATCCTTTATCTGACCCAAGGGTTTTGTTAAGAACACTCAGCGTACGAACAAGAAACAACTGGTTGGCGTTGGAAAGAACAGAAGAAGTTTTTAGGAATTATTCTTCGGGAAAGGACACCGATTCCACCTTTCAGGCCCACACTTGGAAAGTAAGTATACAGTTTAACAACAGACGCCCTGCTTCAGCAAAGCACCTGCTTATTGTCAAGCATAGGCTTAAATCCATCCCCAGTCAGCAAAGCACTTGCGGCCTGATCCCAAGATCCCACCGAAATGAGAGGCAAGACTCACCTTCCCTTTGACGGGCTTTGCAGCAGGCCCACAAAGCACAGCCCTAACTCCCCCAGGCTACAACTTGAGCAGACGCTTAATGGTTCTGCTACATCGGGGCCAGAAATTCCAGCTTCTGTTCTCCAGGCTCCACGCTGCTGCAGGGAGCCAGTGACAAACCCTCGTTCGTCGCAGGCTCAGACAGGCGGGCAACTCGCTTGTGGAGGAAACATTTTTAAGGGGGGGGGGGATACTCACTCTTTTTGCAAGAGGTGCACCTGCAATTTGTGCACTGGCAGGAGTCAGCGCAGGTACACGAGCCACCTGGTGGACAAAGGGGGGGGGGAATGAGCATCACGGCTGGACTAAAACCGAGAGGACGATCAGCGGCAAGGGGAGAATTTTGTCCCCAGCATGGCAAAAGAAGCCCGGGCCATCTGAGCCGGGGAGCTCGGTTTGCAGGCTCCCGCCGCAGAGATTTCACAGAGCCGGAGCCGTCCCGGGCGCAGGGATCGTTCCCCTTCCCCGGCAAGGGGGGGGCTGTTTCCCAGCGAGGGGGGGAGCAGCCCCCGAAGGCCCCGCAGCAGCTCGGAGCAGGGTCCGTGCGGCTCCGCCGCGGGACGAGTCACTCACCGGCAGCGCAAGGGCAGTCCTGGGGATCCATCGCTCTCCGGCTTGCGGCGGTCGCTGCTCAGCCAGGCGGAGGGGAGGAGACGAGGCTTGGAGCGGAGCTGCCCGACGCCTCCCATTTATCCCGGCGGAGGCGTGGGAGCGAGCGCAAAACCCCCGCCCCGCCGCCCTGCACACGGGCCCCGAAGCAGCGAGCAGAGCCGGGGGCTGCGGCCGGCTCCTATCGCCGCCCAGAGCCGCGCTGCGTGACTGCACAAGGCCCGGGGCGCCCCGCACAGCGCCGCGCGCAGAGCCCCCGGAGCGCATTGCGTGGGGCTAGCCCCGCACACAGCAGGGCGCCGTGTGCAAACATCCCTCCCCCCCACACACACACTGCGTTGCCTGGTGCTGTCCCCGCACAGACCCGGGCGCGGAGTGGAAACGCCCGAGTCCCGAGTGCAAGACACAGCCCCGGGCGCCGAGTGCAGCCCGCTCTCCCCGAGCGCATTGCAGGGCGCTGTCCCCTGCCGGGCCCCGGCGCGGAGCGCAAAAGCCGCCGCAGTGCGGGACACGGTGCGATTCCCGCACAGACCCACCCCAGGGCGCTGAGAGCAACCCCCGCCCCCACCACCGCCCCGAGTGCGGGGCACGGTGCGAATCCCCCACAGACCCTCCCCAGGGCGCTGAGAGCAACCCCCGCCCCCACCCCGCCCCGAGTGCGGGGCACGGTGCGATTCCCCCACAGACCCTCCCCAGGGCGCTGAGAGCAACCCCCGCCCCCACCCCCCCCCCCGAGTGCGGGGCACGGGCGATTCCCCCACAGACCCACCCCAGGGCGCTGAGAGCAACCCCCGCCCCCCCCCGCCCCGAGTGCGGGACACGGTGCGATTCCCCCACAGACCCTCCCCAGGGCGCTGAGAGCAACCCCCGCCCCCCCCGCCCCGAGTGCGGGGCACGGTGCGATTCCCCCACAGACCCTCCCCAGGGCGCTGAGAGCAACCCCCGCCCCCCCCCGCCCCGAGTGAGGGGCACGGTGCGATTCCCGCACAGACCCTCCCCAGGGCGCTGAGAGCAACCCCCGCCCCCACCCCCGCCCCGAGTGAGGGGCACGGTTCTAAATTTTTCCTCTGAAAAGGGGGGGGGGGCCCCCTTTCCCTTCGGGGGTTCTTTATTTATGGGGGGGGGGGGAAGGGGGGTGTATCATTACCGGGCCCCAGAGGGCATGTGTGTGCAGGAGTCTGGACACAGAGAATGGCCGACACCCTGTTTCCTGGCAACTAATGGCCTGGGCCCTTCCCCCCCTGCAAGGTGAGAGCTGAAGGGTTGGAGAACAAAGGAATCAGGTGACCACCTGGCCCGGGAAAGGAACAAAGCCCAGAGGAGGAGGGGCTGGAGGGGGTTTTCAGTTTGGGGCTGGCTGGGACATGGAGTGAAGTGCAGACGTGGTTGTCTGGCTCACTGCCCCCCAAAATGGACCCAGCTGAGGGGTCCCGTTCTCTGCACCTGCAAGCTCTGTTTTAGACCATGTTCCTGTCGTCTAATAAACCTTCTGTTTTACTGGCTGGCTGAGAGTCACGTCTGACTGCGAAGTTGGGGTGCAGGACCCTCTGGCTTCCCCAGGAGCCCCGCCTGAGCGGACTCGCTGCGGGAAGCGCACGGAGGGGCAGAGGATGCTGAATGCTCCGAGGTCAGACCCAGGAAGGTGGAAGCTGAGTGAGCTGCGTGTCCTGAAGACAGGCTGCTCACAGAAAGGCGACTGCCCCAGAGTCCTGACTGGCTTCATGGGGAGCAGTTCCAGAGCATCGCCCAGGGACTCCGTGACAACTGGTGGCAGCGGTGGGATGTACTGCACCCCGTGGATGGTGCTTCCTGCAGTAAGTGACTGGGGAGCAGTAACACGAAGGGGGGATTGCCGAGGACCAGGCCTGCTGAAGGCTCAGAGAGGAGCGGTTTCGGGGGCGGTTAACCCCTGGGAGTGTGTGACCAGCGAGAAGGACTGTGCAGTAACAGGGTTCCCCTGGGGATTGCAGCGAGCAGTCCAAGGGGCGGAGGAGTCTGCAGCTCGACCCTGGCAAAGAGGTGGTGACCTCGAGAAGGGCTGACACACTAGGGGTTCTCCCTGGAAACCGTGGGGAGCTGAGAACACACGGGCCTGTGAGTCCACAACAACTTGGGAGGAGCGGAGTGATGGCCTGTCACCGTCTCCTTAAGAAGGACATTGTAACCCTGTGCAAAAAGAGAGGGTTGAGCATTGGAAAGTTCACCAAAGCAGAGTTAATCGTGCAGCTGGAGGAGGATGACCGCTCTAAGGAACAGATTCCTGACCCCAACTGGGGCTATAGCAGGATCTGGGAGCAGCTGAAGCGGGAGCCAGGCATCGCCAAGACTCCTGTCCCCGACCAGACGGGGGTCTTCACGATCGGGTTCCCCATTGGGGGATCAAGACGGACGGGATTGGAGCTGAGTCTGAGAGACCAAGAGGACTGTGAGAGACAGCGAGAGCCCGAGAAAGAGCTGCAGAAGCAGCAGCAGCATGAACTGGCGGTGGGGGGAGCGGAGAGGCCTGGGGACCTCCCAGGGGTGAGTGGGGATAGACCCCGGGGGCCAGTTCCGCAGGGAACCTCGAGACTAAATTGCTGCCCCTGGTTAAGGGGTGTGTGTGTGTGGATGCCACCTCACTGCCTTTGAGCAGGCTGGAGATTTGAACCAGGGGGACCCTGCGGAAAAGCCCCGGTGTCTAGCTCCCTTGCTGGGTCCCAAGGCCACAGACTCCGTCAGCCAGATGGTTGGGGATGTGGACAGGCTCCCACTCCTGACCCCAACCTATATGTCTGTGTGGAGTTTCCTGGGGCCAGGCCCCCCCGGACCTCCAGTGGGAGCAGAAGGTGATGGTCAATGGGGAGACATTCTTGGGGTGGCCAAAGGGCATGGGCTGCATAAACCTTCCCACATGCGGCCTGCGAGTGCTATCGACCACCCCTGACCTAAGGGAGGGCGTGAAACTGGAAGGGCCTGGTGTAACTCCTACCAAGGAATGGGAGAGATGCTGGGGCATCCATGGGAACGTTGGTGGCTTCGAACTTCCCCAGGTCACCGGCTAAAGTGACCCCGCTCAGTTCGATCTCGAAGGGGGAGAGATGTGACGAAGTGGGACTGTTCTTAATGTTTCCTCTGAATAGTGTGGGGGTGCCTCAGTTTCCCCTAGGCAGTTCTTAAGTATCTAGGGGTGGAGTAAGGGTGTATGATCATTGCAGAGCCCTAGAGGGCATGTGTGTGCAGGAGTCTGGACACAGAGAATGGCCGACACCCTGTTTCCTGGCAACTAATGGCCTGGGCCCTTCCCCCCTGCAAGGTGAGAGCTGAAGGGTTGGAGAACAAAGGAATCAGGTGACCACCTGGCCCGGGAAAGGAACAAAGCCCAGAGGAGGAGGGGCTGGAGGGGGTTTTCAGTTTGGGGCTGGCTGGGACATGGAGTGAAGTGCAGACGTGGTTGTCTGGCTCACTGCCCCCCAAAATGGACCCAGCTGAGGGGTCCCGTTCTCTGCACCTGCAAGCTCTGTTTTAGACCATGTTCCTGTCGTCTAATAAACCTTCTGTTTTACTGGCTGGCTGAGAGTCACGTCTGACTGCGAAGTTGGGGTGCAGGACCCTCTGGCTTCCCCAGGAGCCCCGCCTGAGCGGACTCGCTGCGGGAAGCGCACGGAGGGGCAGAGGATGCTGAATGCTCCGAGGTCAGACCCAGGAAGGTGGAAGCTGAGTGAGCTGCGTGTCCTGAAGACAGGCTGCTCACAGAAAGGCGACTGCCCCAGAGTCCTGACTGGCTTCATGGGGAGCAGTTCCAGAGCATCGCCCAGGGACTCCGTGACACCCCCCCGCCCCGAGTGAGGGGCACGGTGCGATTCCCGCACAGACCCACCCCAGGGCGCTGAGAGCAACCCCCGCCCCCACCCCCGCCCCGAGTGCGGGACACGGTGCGATTCCCGCACAGACCCACCCCAGGGCGCTGAGAGCAACCCCCGCCCCCCCGCCGCCCCCGAGTGCGGGGCACGGTGCGATTCCCGCACAGACCCTCCCCAGGGCGCTGAGAGCAACCCCCGCCCCCACCCCCGCCCCGAGTGCGGGACACGGTGCGATTCCCGCACAGACCCACCCCAGGGCGCTGAGAGCAACCCCCCCCCGCCCCGAGTGAGGGGCACGGTGCGATTCCCCCACAGACCCTCCCCAGGGCGCTGAGAGCAACCCCCGCCCCCCCGCCCCGAGTGAGGGGCAGGGTGCGTTTCCCGCACAGACCCTCCCCAGGGCGCTGAGAGCAACCCCCGCCCCCACCCCCACCCCCGCCCCGAGTGCGGGACAGGGTGCGATTCCCGCACAGACCCTCCCCAGGGTGCTGAGAGCAACCCCCGCCCCCACCCCCGCCCCGAGTGCGGGACAGGGTGCGATTCCCGCACAGACCCACCGCAGGGCGCTGAGAGCAACCCCCCCCCTCCACCCCCGCCCCGAGTGCGGGACACGGTGCGATTCCCGCACAGACCCCAGGGCGGTGAGTGCAACGCGTATCCTTAATGTGATGGTTATTTTATTTCCCTCATCGGGACCATGGCACTAGAGGGCCTGGGGGGCAGGCTCTGATCAGGGCCAGCTCTAGGGTTCCCACAGGTGCTGGGAATAGGGGTGCTTGGGGGGCTGCCACCCCCCCGGCTTGAAGTGGTTTCAATCCTATGCAGGGTTTACAGGGCATTCGATGGCTCTCAGCCCCCCTGATTTCGTGCTGGCCGAAGCTGTGTCTGCGGTAGGAAATGGGCCCCTTTGGGATCCCCTCACCTGGCCTGCCTACGGGCTGTAACACAGCCCAGAATCTCCACGGGACTGTGCTCTGTGGGCCGGTGTCACCCTGGCCCGAGCCCTGCACCCTGCAAGCTGGGGGTGCCAGGAGGAGAATCGCATGGCCACACACATTTAGGGCCCCTGTACGCCACAGGGTGGTAACAATGGGAAAATGCCAGTGGCAGCAGGGATCAGGGGTTTTCACCATCGCGTCGTCTCTCGCTCCAGCAGGGTGACGTGGAGGGTGGTGAAAACACCAGGGTCCCGTTTACACTACAACTCCCAGTGGTGCCTCTCTGGTGGTGAATTATGGCTACCAGGCCTGCTCGTGTGCAATCAAGTGCCCTCCCCCTTCACTGTGGCACTATGAGGAAAAGGGCGCAAAACCACAGATCTTCTTTGGCCACCGACCCAATTGGTTGAAACCCATCAGCCATTAACGCAGAAGCAAATCCACACATTTCCTGTCACGCATTTACCCCAGTTCTCAGAAATTGCAAAAAGAACTATCCAAGGTGTCAGAGCAGCAGCCGTGTCAGTCTGTATCCGCAAAAAGAACAGGAGGACTTGTGGCACCTTAGAGACGAACCAATTTATTTGAGCACAAGCTTTGGTGAGTATCCAATGAAGTGAGCTGTATCTCACAAAAGCTTGTGCTCAAATAAATTTGTTAGTCTCTAAGCTGCCACAAGTCCTCCTTTTCTTTCTACAAGGTGTGGTAAACCCAGGACAAACAGCTACATAGCGCGGGGGGGGGGGGGTGGGAGTGTCACGGAGTCCCTGGGCGATGCTCTGGAACTGCTCCCCATGAAGCCAGTCAGGACTCTGGGGCAGTCGCCTTTCTGTGAGCAGCCTGTCTTCAGGACACACAGCTCACACAGCTTCCACCTTCCTGGGTCTGACCTCGGAGCATTCAGCATCCTCTGCCCCTCCGTGTGCTTCCCCCAGCGAGTCCGCTCAGGCGGGGCTCCTGGGGAAGCCAGAGGGTCCTGCACCCCAACTTCGCAGTCAGACGTGACTCTCAGCCAGCCAGTAAAACAGAAGGTTTATTAGACGACAGGAACATGGTCTAAAACAGAGCTTGCAGGTGCAGAGAACGGGACCCCTCAGCTGGGTCCATTTTGGGGGGCAGTGAGCCAGACAACCACGTCTGCACTTCACTCCATGTCCCAGCCAGCCCCAAACTGAAAACTCCCTCCAGCCCCCCTGCTCTGGGCTTTGTTCCTTTCCCGGGCCAGGAGGTCACCTGATTCCTTTGTTCTCCAACCCTTCAGCTCTCACCTTGCAAGGGGGGGAAGGGCCCAGGCCATCAGTTGCCAGGAAACAGGGTGTTGGCCATTCTCTGTGTCCAGACTCCTGCACACACCTGCCCTCTAGGGCTCTGCAATGATCATACACCCTTACTCCACCCCCAAGATACTTAAGAACTGCCTAGGGGAAACGGAGGCACCCCCACACTATTCAGAGGAAACATTAAGAACAGTCCCACTTCGTCACATCTCTCCCCCCTTCGAGATCGAACTGAGCGGGGTCACTTTAGCCGGTGACCTGGGGAAGTTCGAAGCCACCAACGTTCCCATGGATGCCCCAGCATCTCTCCCATTCCTTGGTAGGAGTTACACCAGGCCCTTCCAGTTCACGCCCTCCCTTAGGTCAGGGGTGGTCGATAGCACTCGCAGGCCGCATGTGGGAAGGTTTATGCAGCCCATGCCCTTTGGCCACCCCAAGAATGTCTCCCCATTGACCATCACCTTCTGCTCCCACTGGAGGTCCGAGGGGCCTGGCCCCAGGGAACTCCACACAGACATATAGGTTGGGGTCAGGAGTGGGAGCCTGTCCACATCCCCAACCATCTGGCTGACGGAGTCTATGGCCTTGGGACCCAGCAAGGGAGCTAGACACCGGGGCTTTTCCGCAGGGTCCCCTTGGTTCAAATCGCCAGCCTGCTCAAAGGCAGTGAGGTGGGCATCCACACACCCCCCCTCCTTAACCAGGGGCAGCAATTTAGTCTTGAGGTTCCCTGCGGAACTGGCCCCCCGGGGTCTATCCCCACTCACCCCGGGGAGGTCCCCTAGGCCTCTCCGCCCCACCACCGCCAGTTCATGCTGCTGCTGCTTCTGCAGCTCTTTCTCGGGCTCTCGCTGTCTCTCACAGTCCTCTTGGTCTCTCAGACTCAGCTCCAATCCCGTCCGTCTTGATCCCCCCGATGGGGAACCCGATCGTGAAGACCCTCGTCTGGTCAGGGACAGGAGTCTTGGCGATGCCTGGCTCCCGCTTCAGCTGCTCCCAGATCCTGCTATAGCCCCAGTTGGGGTCAGGAATCTGTTCCTTAGAGCGGTCATCCTCCTCCAGCTGCACGATTAACTCTGCTTTGGTGAACTTTCCAATGCTCAACCCTCTCTTTCTGCACAGGGTTACAATGTCCTTCTTAAGGAGACGGTGACAGGCCATCACTCCGCTCCTCCCAAGTT